TTTGATGAAGTCATGCAAGAGTTGGGATATTTCGTGACTCCCGACGACCTTGTTGCTGATCTCGCTCTCCCTGTTGCGTAAGGGAAGGCGGACGACGGAGCCAGTGAACTCCTTTCCTTGCCAATCGCTAGGTAAAAGTGAGTCAAAGGTCGTTAGATGACCTTGGTACGTTGAAGGGTTTGCGGAAAGTTCGATCTTGACGCCCCCCGAACGGGCAAAGTTGTGCTGGGGATCTAAAATGGCGAGGTATGGGCCAGACATGATTTGAGGGTAATCCGTGATCTGCAGTCAACGTGAGCAACTGCTATGAACGCGGATTTGGAGAAGCATACGTGGTAGACGGAACGGAAGCCAATCCCATACTTTCCGATCTTGCTATATATCCTGGTCAGCATATGTTGCACATCAGATATGGAAGGGATCATACGACGTATCCATTTTCTTCGAAGATCTGTGGATGTTCTGCAATGCTTCCCAATCCTCCTCCTGAAACATCGCGTCATTAAAGGCGAGCAAGGCTGGTCCTTGCGTCGGTTTTAGTCTTGGGTGATGAATGTGGTCGGTCGCGTGGGTACGATGATCTAGGACGAATATCTTGATTCCATCCGTCAATGAGAGCGTAGGGAAGACATTTGTGAATCACACCTGTTTTGATGCACGAGCATCATCTGAATTTTGTAATAACTCTCTTAGCAGCCCAACCGAAAATGGGTAGCTACCAAGGATAGCTCGTACCGCGGCGCATGGATCGACGTTCTCTCCAAAGCTCGATGACATGCTGAAAGTGCGGGTAAGCGTGAATGTTAGACAACCAGAGGGGTCACGTACTTATAAGAGGTTCTTTTCCTCGTGTCTTCCTCGTGTTATACCTGATGGTCAAACAGAAGTATTAGTGTGTGAATGGAGTAAGCCAATGACGATGTCGGTCAACGTCCTCCTTTAAATTTCGGACATGAGTAAATCCAACATCTGAAGGGGCTAATAACTCACCTGGGGTGTATTTCAACTATGTTAACAATCAGGATCAGAGGGTGGTGCAGAAGACAAGAGCATCTTGCACTGCGCACGCGCTTATAAATCGATCCAGTGATTCTCCCGCTTAATCCGCCCTCGTGTGGGCAGGGCGCCTAAATACAATAACACAATGACCGTGATTATTGTTCCCAGAACAAAGTCTCTTAGAACAGCATAATAATAAGCGAGGCATGTATGACGGAAAGAAAGGACTCAGAACATACCTGCGTTGACTCGGAAAGTCTCTATCTTGATGATTGAGGTGACCGTCAGAAACTGAGAAAGTGATGCTTGCTTCTCAAAGTGACCACAGTGGTTCTCCCGCGCTTCTACGAGATTCAGATGAATCAAGCCTCAGAAATGCCTAAAGTTGGGCGTTGCAGAAAATTTTGACATTCCAAGGCGGTTAAGTTTTTCGGGAGCCGTAGCTGTAATTTCTGCAACTCTGTTGCTTGGCCGATATAAGTATAGTGATGGGAAGAAGAAATAAAAGCCAGTCAATCTGAGTCGTTCGTGGTTCAGCGTGATAAGGCGCGTCAACAAGCCATAACAGACGCGAAACAAAGATAATTACGATCAACGAACGGCTCTCTCTTCCTTACCACCATCATCTCCACTGACCTTCAGCGCCAGTCCTCGTCACTGCCACTGACACCGACCTTCACATCCCCAACAACACTTTAACACGCACGCAACATGTCTGGACGCGGAAAAGGTGGCAAGGTGAGCTCAAAATGCAAAGTAGACGGTATTCAGCTATTGACGCATTCTTGCCCAGGGTCTCGGCAAAGGTGGTGCTAAACGTCACCGTAAGATTCTTCGCGACAACATCCAAGGTGCGTCAATGCCACCATGTCCTTTCATACAACCTCACTTACACCCTGTATACCACCCAGGTATCACGAAGCCCGCTATCCGTCGTCTCGCTCGCCGTGGTGGTGTAAAGCGTATTTCTGGTCTCATCTACGAGGAAACCCGTGGTGTCCTCAAGATCTTCCTTGAGAACGTTATCCGGGACTCCGTTACCTACACTGAGCACGCTAAGCGGTACGCGGCCTTCTTGTCCTCCTGTCTTTCCCCGCTGATTTGGGATACTGCAGGAAAACTGTCACGGCTCTCGACGTCGTCTACGCCCTCAAGCGTTCTGGTCGTACCCTCTACGGATTTGGTGCTTAGACTCGTGTACTATTGCTTCACTATACATTGCCCGCTCTACGATTATATTCTCGACATGTACTACCATCTGAATGCCTATAAACTATGTTATGATACTCCCAACAAGCATAGCGAGTGAAAGACAGTTGGAGGCGGTAGTGGGGCAGCCAGGACTAAGCCCCTTCCAAAGCACCGTTTGACCCCCAAATTCTGTCGGAGCCGCGAGTTAGAGACCCCCGAAAGGCCCAGTCAAATTTGTATTCAGTTTGAGCATATTTACACAGGTCCTCTATAAGCCTTAAACCGTCCTAAACTCGGCACGTAGAGTAGCAGTGGTCAAGGTTTCCCCGCCAGGCTAATAATCACCTCTGAACAAAGGTCTTCATCACCCTGCACCTACTCCGACTAAATCCTCGAAGGAACAGCGGGGAGCTCTGGCGAGAAGAGCACCAGTGGCTGTCCGCAGGCTCGTAAGAAGGATTCCAGGGGTCCCGTGAATCATGTGGGCGTGGCTTGGGGTGATTGGGTGTTGTGTCGTGCACGGGCCACTGAAAGTGACATGGGAGCCGGGGAAGGCGATATGACTCGTTAAATGCACTGGGGAGAAAATGACGTCGTCAGTATAAACGGGCAAATAGAGGTGGTGGATGTAACCCAAAGTCAGAATTCGGCAGGAAGTCACGCTACTCACTGGTGTATCAGGTGAACTGGTTGAACTTGACGTGAAAGCCAACGCGTAAGTTCATCCTACGAGAATGAGAAGACTGTGTTGCACTTGCAGCAACCAATATTCGGCGTTGTCGACCTAAAATCCAAGGGTTAACATCTGCCTGAACTCAAGCATACTGCAAACCACACGTACCATTGCCATCCACGCCCAGGAGAACGATATACCTGTTAAAAAGCTGTTTACCGCAACAAAAAAAAAGGTCAAGAACAACCGCACGATGTCAAGTAAAAATCTAAAGAGCACGCATAATGATAAGTATGCAGGAAAACAAACACGAGAGGAGACGTACCAGGTACATCCTGCATACCAACCCCACTTCCAGTGCATGCCTACAACTCAAGCAAATGAAAACTGAAAAAAAGCCACCACGAAAGTGACAAGTCGGAAAAAATTGTGGGATCTCATCCCAACCAACATGCAAATCTTCAACCACACACACTCTCGAAGCCTAAAAGGCCACCCCCGCCACGGTGCTAGCCCACAAGAGGACATACCACCCCAACGCTCACCCAACCCCGCTCCTTTTGGTCCCCCTATTCGTCACGACAACTACTAAGGGAGAACCGTCCCATCAATAACCCTCCTTCACCCCACCCGTCTTAGCATGGGATAGCATGAGCGATCAACCCAGTTAACGTGGACTTCGACCCGTCACCCACACTCCCAGCAGCGTCTCGCGCAAGGCGTACAGGGCCCACTCACCACCTGATCACTCAGAAAGACACCATCCTCGTTTTCTTGTCCGTGCGCTAAACCGCAACCAAAAAGTCCCTCGAGCAGAACCTCGCCGCGCGTGTTCCCCATTCGCCTTTGCGTCCCCAAAGAGCAAGCAAAGCAGTCAATCTGGATCCAACCCCCCGCTGACCTCGAGAACGCATCTCTGCTACAACAGGTATCCGTTACCGGAACCCCTTTCCCGTAGGAGTCATAGCTTCAGCAAGGGGAGGGTGGACCAACATGCCATGGCCACCATGAAGGGCTTAGGCATGAGTAGAGGAAGCACGGGCGCGGGTCATCGGTGCCATACGTCGAAGGAAATGGCGTATAACAGGAGTAGCGTGTAGAAAACCGAAGAAAAGTGCATTCAAGAGCGTCTAGGGTGGGTCTTCGTTTCGTGCTGAATAACAACGCTTGGAGGAGGCTCGGAGCCGGCCCAGAGGTCTAGGTGGCCTAAGCCTTGATACGCCGGCTACCCACAACGAAATGGTCAGGAGAGAATATGATGTGGAGTTGAGTTACTAGCTGTAGTGAGCAGTCATGGTCAGCCTTCTTGTGTGAGAAGGGTTGAAATTGGGGGCGTGCGTGATGTTGCTGGAAGAAAGTCAATTACTGATTAGAAGCGGATGAGTTTACTTACCAGCTGGCTTAGTACAACCTCCACAGATCTCTCAAACGCCGTGAGACAAGTGCCCCGCTTTCCTGTGTGTCCCTTTTCCCCAACCTACGTTCCCTCGCTTCTGGGTCCCCTAACACATCGCCGCCGAAGCCATGCAGATTTCAACGCGCTCGCCGACGCTTCTGGACTTCACCTGCACCATTGTGTTGTCCCCAGAGGGTAACACGAGATAATACAGTAGCCCACGGCACTTGAACGCTGCGGAAATGGTGCCGGGATTTGAGCGAACTCAGAGGTAAATTGGACTGTGAGATCTTGTGCGGAAGCTTGTTTATAGAAGGGCCTATGCTTCCTCTTGGAAGCGTGTGTAAAAAGGAAGAACTGAGCGCGAAGTAGCATAGGGCGAATGGGACCTTGAAGAGGTCTGTATGGGGCCCGTGGACACACAACAAGGAGTGTGCGTAACTTGCTCCGTCTTTCCTCCAAATCCAAATGATCCCGCGACGCCTCTCTGGTGCCCCTCCCGCCGCTGCGACGATGGATCACACGTATTTCCGGCATCGCCTTCCCTCTCCACCTACACAGAAAGGAAATGTACAGCAGGGGGCCAAACATCTTGCGAGGATGCAAGGAGAACCTGGTGCAATTTCCTGTACGGGAACTGCCATAGGAGATCGGGGTCCCGAGGCAACACAGACGGTGATTTGTACGTGGTCGCGAACGGTGAGTCGGAAGAAACACGTTCCGAAGAAGCGATGAAGAAAGGAGGAAGGACATCATGGCAGCGAAGAGCTCCTTGGTCAACGCGCGCGCAAAGTTCAGCCATCACACGCCTTCACGGATTGCTACTACAACCGAGAGGAGATAGCGCGTCTCCTTCAAGCAGAGGAGAGATGTGACACGGTCATAAAGAACTTAGGGTTAGATGACACTCTTTCGAGTGGCATGGTGGCTAGAGGCAGCGGGGGTCGAGGAGAAGGTTGAAAACGCGGTTGGAAGGGGTGCCTGGAGCGAAGGGCGGGAAAGGCGGGTTTACTCGTCAGAATGCGAATGAGAGGAGGGTTGGTGGAGGTGTTCAACGTTGGACCCTGTGTTGACCTTCATTGTTGAAAATACAAGAAAACCAAATTGAACCACATTGTAACAATTACATTTCAACAAAGAATAGCAACTCAAGGGGGGTCAGATCCACCGATCGCCATTGTCATAAGCCACTCAAGCCACCTCCATATGGACATAAGCCACTTGTACTAGTACTTAAGCCACCTCCAGACACCGCACATGAACCTGTCTGATAGCTCATTCCTTCAATCGTCCATCTTGCTGATATGTCTAATTTGCCTGGCAGCTCCAAAGCCTTAGTCCTATGTTCAGACTCGACACATGTGCACTTTTAGTCTGCTGAACTGGGTATGTTCAAAGACTCTCTGTATCATTGCAACTGTACTTAGTGTAGTTACAGAGAAGACCATTTAATGGTAAAATCACAAAAATTGGATTTTATACAGTTAATTTCATTTCACCTGTATCATAGCATCACACACATGAGGTTGGCCTGCCACATGAACGTGCTTTGATTCCGGATGGGTGGGGCCAGGTTCACAGGCCGCTGAGCAACATCATCATCAGAGTCAACATCAATGACAGGGGGCGGGTTACTGGCAATACGAGCTGAACTGCATGGGGGGTTATCAGTCTTGGTTGATGGATTGGATGGCTGCGATTGAGTAGCCTGGAGAGTCGAGGCAGAAGGTAAAAGGGAAAATGAGGGTTCCGACGGTGTGGACGGTGTGGATGGAGGGCTGTGCATGGAAATATACTCTGTAGTGCTATTAGCCTGCTTGAACAAAAAGTGTTAGCGCATTTGTCTCATAAAAAGAAAAAGTTTCTCACCTGGTCATCATTGGAGCTTGAGTCACTTGAGAACAACTGAGAGGACCTGTGGCCTTGCAAGTTGCCATGACCTTCGCTTTTCCAATCGAGTCTGCAAGTTGAACCAAGGGGGGTACACAATTTTAATTTAATATATCATGCTGATTTTTTTCATAAGGCCACTATGGCAGGACTAACTAACCAGCGTGCAAATAAATTACCATATATAGGTAAAGTCTATAAATAGGTACTGTGTTTTGGGCATCATTTGGGCATTGTGTCAGCTGCCACCTTATCTACACTGCACGCCTTCGTTTGCTGCCCCTTCCTCTGCTTTTTTCTACGCTCTTGGATGGGTCACAAACCCAGTCGTTGATACCATGATCCAGTCCAACGCAGAAAAGATGGTACTGCATAGTTAGTGGTGAGTAGAAGGCAGAAAATGACATGAAAAGAAATGTCTTACCCACAATGTCTCACAGCCTTTTCGTCTGGAGATAATTATTCTGCTTTTGTCATCGGCCTCAACTTTGTCTATACTCTCGCCGCAATCACACACTCTCACAAGCTTTCATTTACTGGTGTTCCTCAAACCTACTCATAGGCTTCTCAGGTCAGAGTTTGCAGAGGCAGTGGGTATGTTGAGATCTATAGCAAATTTGTGAGTTTCATGCCCATTCCCACTGTTGGTTCATGTGTTGATGGCTTCTAGCTCATTTGCACGTAGGCCAACTTTTTGTGTGATGATGGCTGAAACAACTGCATCAGTCGCATCAAGCATCTCGTCTGCAGGTAGCCCAACCTCTTGCACAATGACAGCTGGAACAACTGCGTCGTTCGTGTCAAGCATGTCTCCATCATTGGAAGGACAACAGAACGGGTAAGTAAGGAGAGCTCGTCAAACACGTCAGAGAGCGCACCAGTCTAATCTAAGCTCATCCAGTCCATAAATTACCCGAAATTGGTACTTAAAATAAAATAAAATTTAACGGCCTGGCGGCTGGACTAACTAACTGGCCCCATATGGCAAATTCAAATCCTGCTCCCCCCTTGAGTTGAACGACAAAGAGGAGGCTATTGGATGCCTGTAGGCTTCATTGGAAGCTGAAGAGGGGGTCACAGAGAACCTGGGACAGTCTTCGGTACACTCCACAACTACATGTCTGATGATGTGCTCATCGTTGTCGTTGTCATTGTTGTTGCTCTTCTTCTTCTTTGGCTTGTATTCATGCAAGGTGTAACAGTGGTTTATACTTTACCTTGGCATGACATTGAATCATAGTAGTTACAATTGTTTGTTCCTTGTTTATCTTGTGTTGTGGCCCCTTCGTAGTACTTACCTTCTTACCATGACTACTCATAATACATGGATTGGGTTGCAGATACGATTTATGGCCAGACAACCCATCGTCTCCCCTCCAGGATACAAGAGCCCTGCGCTGGGTGACAGCATCCCTAATCCAGGGTCACAGGATATCTTAGGCGTGTTACTGCCACACGGAACCATGCCACCAACACAAGTCAACAATGTAGTCTGCACTACACCCGACACTCTCGCCTCGCACTCATGACCTTGTTGAGAAGTCTACGACGATAGGAGGTCTTTATTGTCCTCCACTGATTCCTGCCGGAATCTGGCGGAATCCAGGCAATTCCTGGAATTCCAGAGGAATCAAATTTGGCAGAGGGCCCTGCCAAATTGTTTCATCAATTCCGCAGAATTTTGAATGGAATTCAAATTCCGCCAGAATGGTTCCAGGAATCACCCAGAAGGAATGATCACGGAACATGACGGAACAGAATTCCTGACACCCAAATTGAGTGTCGGTGTTTGCCGACGCTTGATTTGGGCATCATCAACAACACACCCTCTCAACCACCACCATCATCCACGACGCCCACCCATCGCCACGTCACCACAATCACCCGTGGTCACCACCACCCACGACACTCATCAATCAGCAACCCCGACCACCTCAATGCATCAAGAACAATACAAGAACGCCACGTCACCAGCAAACGATGCCACATCGCTGATAGCGACGTCATTCGTCATCATCCAAAGGTAAGTGCCCCCCCTCCTCCATCCCATCCCACCCCACTAATGACTACGAAAACACGACACGACGACAACAGGACACGACAGCGACACGCCACGACATGACAATGACAACACAACACCACGAGAACACAACATGACGACAACACGACACAATGGCAACGCAACACAACGATGGCAACATGACACGACGATGACGCACACC